GCGTGTGTTACAGTGCGTTAGTGTGCGTGTGTTACAGTGCGTTACTGTGCGTGTGTTACAGTGCGTGTGTTACAGTGCGTTAGTGTGCGTGTGTTACAGTGCGTTACTGTGCGTGTGTTAGTGTGTTACAGTGTGTTAGTGTGCGTGTGTTACAGTGTGTTAGTGTGCGTGTGTTACTGTGTGTTAGTGTGCGTGTGTTACAGTGTGTTAGTGTGCGTGTGTTACAGTGTGTTACAGTGCGTGTGTTACAGTGTGTTACAGTGTGTTACAGTGTGTGTGTGTTACTGTGCGTGTGTTACAGTGTGTTACAGTGTGTTACAGTGTGTTACAGTGTGTGTGTGTTACTGTGCGTGTGTTACAGTGTGTTACAGTGTGTTACAGTGTGTGTGTTACTGTGCGTGTGTTACAGTGTGTTACAGTGTGTTACAGTGTGTTACAGTGTGTGTGTGTTACTGTGCGTGTGTTACAGTGTGTTACAGTGTGTTACAGTGTGTGTGTTACTGTGCGTGTGTTACAGTGTGTTACAGTGTGTTACAGTGTGTTACAGTGTGTGTGTGTTACTGTGCGTGTGTTACAGTGTGTTACAGTGTGTTACAGTGTGTGTGTGTTACTGTGCGTGTGTTACAGTGTGTTACAGTGTGTTACAGTGTGTGTGTTACTGTGCGTGTGTTACAGTGTGTTACAGTGTGTTACAGTGTGTGTGTGTTACTGTGCGTGTGTTACAGTGTGTTAGTGTGCGTGTGTTACAGTGTGTTAGTGTGCGTGTGTTACAGTGTGTTAGTGTGCGTGTGTTACAGTGTGTGTGTGTTACTGTGCGTGTGTTACAGTGTGTTAGTGTGTGTGTGTTACTGTGCGTGTGTTACAGTGTGTTAGTGTGTGTGTGTTACTGTGCGTGTGTTACAGTGTGTTACAGTGTGTTACAGTGTGTGTGTGTTACTGTGCGTGTGTTACAGTGTGTTACAGTGTGTGTGTGTTACTGTGCGTGTGTTACTGTGCGTGTGTTACAGTGTGTTAGTGTGTGTGTGTTACTGTGCGTGTGTTACAGTGTGTTACAGTGTGTGTGTGTTACTGTGCGTGTGTTACAGTGTGTTACAGTGTGTTAGTGTGCGTGTGTTACAGTGTGTTAGTGTGTGTGTGTTACTGTGCGTGTGTTACAGTGTGTTACAGTGTGTTACAGTGTGTGTGTTACTGTGCGTGTGTTACAGTGTGTTACAGTGTGTTACAGTGTGTGTGTTACTGTGCGTGTGTTACTGTGCGTGTGTTACAGTGTGTTAGTGTGTGTGTGTTACTGTGCGTGTGTTACAGTGTGTTAGTGTGTGTGTGTTACTGTGCGTGTGTTACAGTGTGTTAGTGTGTGTGTTACTGTGCGTGTGTTACAGTGTGTTAGTGTGTGTGTGTTACTGTGCGTGTGTTACAGTGTGTTACAGTGTGTTACAGTGTGTGTGTGTTACTGTGCGTGTGTTACAGTGTGTTACAGTGTGTTACAGTGTGTTACAGTGTGTGTGTGTTACAGTGTGTTACAGTGTGCGTGTGTTACAGTGTGTTACAGTGTGTTACAGTGTGTGTGTGTTACTGTGCGTGTGTTACAGTGTGTTACAGTGTGTGTGTGTTAGTGTGCGTGTGTTACAGTGTGTTACAGTGTGTTACAGTGTGCGTGTGTTACAGTGTGTTACAGTGTGTGTGTTACTGTGCGTGTGTTACAGTGTGTTAGTGTGTGTGTTACTGTGCGTGTGTTACAGTGTGTTAGTGTGTGTGTGTTACTGTGCGTGTGTTACAGTGTGTTAGTGTGTGTGTGTTACTGTGCGTGTGTTACAGTGTGTTAGTGTGTGTGTGTTACTGTGCGTGTGTTACAGTGTGTTACAGTGTGTTACAGTGTGTGTGTGTTACTGTGCGTGTGTTACTGTGCGTGTGTTACAGTGTGTTACAGTGTGTTAGTGTGCGTGTGTTACAGTGTGTTAGTGTGTGTGTTACTGTGCGTGTGTTACAGTGTGTTACAGTGTGTGTGTTACTGTGCGTGTGTTACTGTGCGTGTGTTACAGTGTGTTACAGTGTGTTAGTGTGCGTGTGTTACAGTGTGTTAGTGTGTGTGTGTTACTGTGCGTGTGTTACAGTGTGTTACAGTGTGTTACAGTGTGTGTGTGTTACTGTGCGTGTGTTACAGTGTGTTACAGTGTGTTACAGTGTGTGTGTGTTACTGTGCGTGTGTTACTGTGCGTGTGTTACAGTGTGTTAGTGTGTGTGTGTTACTGTGCGTGTGTTACAGTGTGTTACAGTGTGTTACAGTGTGTTACAGTGTGTTACAGTGTGTGTGTTACAGTGTGTTACAGTGTGCGTGTGTTACAGTGTGTTACAGTGTGTTACAGTGTGTGTGTGTTACTGTGCGTGTGTTACAGTGTGTTACAGTGTGTTACAGTGTGTGTGTGTTAGTGTGCGTGTGTTACAGTGTGTTACAGTGTGTTACAGTGTGCGTGTGTTACAGTGTGTTACAGTGTGTGTGTGTTACTGTGCGTGTGTTACAGTGTGTTAGTGTGTGTGTGTTACTGTGCGTGTGTTACAGTGTGTTAGTGTGTGTGTGTTACTGTGCGTGTGTTACAGTGTGTTAGTGTGTGTGTTACTGTGCGTGTGTTACAGTGTGTTACAGTGTGTTACAGTGTGTGTGTTACTGTGCGTGTGTTACAGTGTGTTACAGTGTGTTACAGTGTGTGTGTGTTACTGTGCGTGTGTTACTGTGCGTGTGTTACAGTGTGTTAGTGTGTGTGTTACTGTGCGTGTGTTACAGTGTGTTACAGTGTGCGTGTGTTACAGTGTGTTACAGTGTGTGTGTGTTACTGTGCGTGTGTTACAGTGTGTTAGTGTGTGTGTGTTACTGTGCGTGTGTTACAGTGTGTTAGTGTGTGTGTGTTACTGTGCGTGTGTTACAGTGTGTTAGTGTGTGTGTGTTACTGTGCGTGTGTTACAGTGTGTTAGTGTGTGTGTTACTGTGCGTGTGTTACAGTGTGTTACAGTGTGTTACAGTGTGTGTGTGTTACTGTGCGTGTGTTACTGTGCGTGTGTTACAGTGTGTTACAGTGTGTTAGTGTGCGTGTGTTACAGTGTGTTAGTGTGTGTGTGTTACTGTGCGTGTGTTACAGTGTGTTACAGTGTGTGTGTTACTGTGCGTGTGTTACTGTGCGTGTGTTACAGTGTGTTACAGTGTGTTAGTGTGCGTGTGTTACAGTGTGTTAGTGTGTGTGTTACTGTGCGTGTGTTACAGTGTGTTACAGTGTGTTACAGTGTGTGTGTGTTACTGTGCGTGTGTTACAGTGTGTTACAGTGTGTTACAGTGTGTGTGTGTTACTGTGCGTGTGTTACTGTGCGTGTGTTACAGTGTGTTAGTGTGTGTGTTACTGTGCGTGTGTTACAGTGTGTTACAGTGTGTTACAGTGTGTTACAGTGTGTTACAGTGTGTGTGTGTTACAGTGTGTTACAGTGTGCGTGTGTTACAGTGTGTTACAGTGTGTTACAGTGTGTGTGTGTTACTGTGCGTGTGTTACAGTGTGTTACAGTGTGTTACAGTGTGTGTGTGTTAGTGTGCGTGTGTTACAGTGTGTTACAGTGTGTTACAGTGTGCGTGTGTTACAGTGTGTTACAGTGTGTGTGTTACTGTGCGTGTGTTACAGTGTGTTAGTGTGTGTGTGTTACTGTGCGTGTGTTACAGTGTGTTAGTGTGTGTGTGTTACTGTGCGTGTGTTACAGTGTGTTAGTGTGTGTGTGTTACTGTGCGTGTGTTACAGTGTGTTACAGTGTGTTACAGTGTGTGTGTTACTGTGCGTGTGTTACAGTGTGTTACAGTGTGTTACAGTGTGTGTGTGTTACTGTGCGTGTGTTACTGTGCGTGTGTTACAGTGTGTTAGTGTGTGTGTTACTGTGCGTGTGTTACAGTGTGTTACAGTGTGTGTGTGTTACTGTGCGTGTGTTACTGTGCGTGTGTTACAGTGTGTTACAGTGTGTTAGTGTGCGTGTGTTACAGTGTGTTAGTGTGTGTGTGTTACTGTGCGTGTGTTACAGTGTGTTACAGTGTGTTACAGTGTGTGTGTGTTACTGTGCGTGTGTTACAGTGTGTTACAGTGTGTGTGTGTTACTGTGCGTGTGTTACTGTGCGTGTGTTACAGTGTGTTAGTGTGTGTGTGTTACTGTGCGTGTGTTACAGTGTGTTACAGTGTGTGTGTGTTACTGTGCGTGTGTTACTGTGCGTGTGTTACAGTGTGTTACAGTGTGTTAGTGTGCGTGTGTTACTGTGCGTGTGTTACAGTGTGTTACAGTGTGTGTGTTACTGTGCGTGTGTTACTGTGCGTGTGTTACAGTGTGTTACAGTGTGTTACAGTGTGTTAGTGTGCGTGTGTTACTGTGCGTGTGTTACAGTGTGTTACAGTGTGTGTGTGTTACTGTGCGTGTGTTACAGTGTGTTACAGTGTGTGTGTTACTGTGCGTGTGTTACAGTGTGTTACAGTGTGTGTGTTACTGTGCGTGTGTTACTGTGCGTGTGTTACAGTGTGTTACAGTGTGTTAGTGTGTGTGTGTTACAGATAAGATAGAACATAGATAAGATGGTTGCCTTTGATGTGGGAGACCTGGGTTCGATTCCCACTGTGACCCATCCACCATTGTGTCCCTGAGCAAGACACTTAACCCCTCGTTGCTCCAGAGGCGTGCGACCTCTGACCTCTGACATGTATAGCAATTTTAAGTCGCTTTAGATAAAAGCTAAATGTAATGTACTGTGTGTGTGTTACATAACATTTAGAGACATTTCTTCTTCACTTCTTGTCTGAAACTTTTATTTTTAGAAGAACCTGCTGGCAGGAAGTCACGTGTTTATGTCCCTATTAAACATATTTGAATTATTTTAGATACCAGCTGATCATCACAGAGCCTAATGAGGCTCCTTCAAATTAAGAATAAATAAAGCTGTCTTTCATTAGTCTGTGTGTGTGTCTGCGCGTGTTGAAGCGCGTGCGCACCTTGTCGCTGAGGTCCTCTTTGTGCCGCGCGGCGCCGCTCCGCCTGCGCAGTTTGATGGACGGGGAGCGCAGCAGGTTCTTGATGCGGCTGCGGATCGTGCCGCTTCCCTCCGCGGCCATCGCGCCGTTAGCTGCCCGGCTAGCTGCGTCTCTCAGCGGCTGGAGCCTCTCTGTGTCGCGCTCTCCTCCGCGGCCGCTGCCGTCATGCCGTCTGCGGGCCGAGCCGGGCCGGAGGGTTCAGCGAGCCTGGCTCCGGTACTGGTTCTGGTCTGATCCGGGTCACGGGCTCCGGTTCCGCTGCTGCTGCTCCGCATCTTATTTCTCCGCCGCAGCGAAGACACGAAGCGGCTCCAACACGACCAGGACCCGGACTACACCGCCAGCGTCAAGACCGCACGCGGCAATGACACAAACACTTCCGGTCAGGGTTTTCAGAATAAATCAGCGAGGACCTTTTTAAATAAATAATACAAGTTTCATTAAAGACAGTTGGTCCAAAGTGTGGTACTGTAGTTATAATCAGAGGGAAAGTAACGAGTACATTTACCTTATTTTGACCCACTACCAGAATCAGAATCCTTCACTGATCCCCAGGAGAAATTCTGGTACAGATACTCGCTTACAAAGGGTTGGGCATGAGGGAGTAGGAACAGACTTAACAGTAGACAATATAAGAAAGTATGAAAATCTAAGAATATAATGTGGATATTTACAGTATTATCAGAAGTGTCATAAATAGTGTAGCTATAATAAAATATTCCCAATATATTGAGGATATATTACACTACAAGGTGCAGTTCATCAGTAAGACTTAAATACCATACATTTCCTCTACGTTTACCTACAGCTGTAGTTAGTTACGTGATTTCAGTGCGGTAGGGTCGATGTTTTATTTCTTCCTGTTTCTGTACAAATCATTTTGTTTTAAATGTAAATAAATAACATTAACAGTTATAATAATCCAATAATATAATCTGTATGTAAACACTGTGAAATTTTATTCCACCATATTTTTGCTTTCTTCAGTACAATTTAATACTTGAGAACATTATTTTGATGCTACACAAGTACTTTCACAGCAGTACATGTTGAATGCAGGACTTGTATATACTAATTATTATATAATTACTTTAACTTCAGTAAATTATCTCTGTACTTCCACAACTGCTTGCCTGCCTTTGTGTTTGCCAGTACCTTGCTTTTACTTTGACGGTAAAGACTCCTCACTTCCGGTGTCGTCGTGCGTGACTCAGATTGACGCTGCTCTGACGCCTCCACGCTGCAGTGACCGCAAAGTGACGCAGCAGCGCCGCCCGGCGGCAGGAGGCGGGTTTAACAACAAGGCAATCCAAAGTGTTTTAAACATGAAGCAACAAAAGAAAAAGAAGAAGACATTTAAAGAGTTAGAAAATAAAAACAAGCTGAAGCCTTAAATTTAATTTAGTAAAAAGT